CACACTGACCATCACGGGCTTCTTGAACAACATAGAATATGGAATCAATAACCATTGTAGGGTATTCAAATGAGATCTTGCCAACCCCTGCCTGGTGCTCCTCATTCTTATAAAGTTAACCATGATTCAGAATCAAATCTTGTTCTTCTACCGCGATAAAAGGAGTGATTTTAAAAGTCTCATGTGGCAATTCAGTTGCAAGTTGTACAGAGAGACGTTACTCCTTATCTCAGTGGTAACTGAGACACAAGTAAATTGGTTATCTTTGAGTCATTCCATTACCTTACAATTCAAAGGTTATTGGAGAGTCCCAGGACTTTACAATGTTAAGTTGTCCAGGATCTGATCCTTCTCACTGACCAGTCACTAAGTAATATAAATCAGTTCAATAAAAATATCCATCATCTACAGAGCTCTTCATAACCCTAAACCTTTACTGGCTGACATACATTAAAACACCTTAAAAACAAAACACCCAGCGGTACTGAAGTGTCTTCGTGATATCTGTCAGCAACTGAAGAAGAAGAGAGGGCTCCTATAAATGGAAAGTCCCCTAATTTAGGCAAAGGAAAGCACATGGCCAGCTATGGCGTCGCTTCACTAGTCCAGACGGTCCCTTTCAGCACAACGGCTACAAGACTCCTTGCAGTCACTGGTCACTAACGCTCTCAGTTTGAGTCTACAAATAGCTACATTAGGCTGTTACGAGCCACCAAGTCCATTTCTACTCACAAAGACCCCCTGAGCTTGAGTAGAATGGGCTCAGAGGGCTTTCTGGGAGGTCACCTTTATGGAAGCAGGCCTTTCTCCGGGAGAGTGGCCATGTAGGTTCCCTTAGCTGTTTGTGCAACCAGGGCTCACTTGCAGGCATGCAGAAATTGAGGCACGAATCTTGATCAAAAATCTCTATTCAAATAACAAAATGATTGAATATCTCTATAATTATGCTCGCTTCTTATTCCTTCCTATTTTCATTTTCCTGGGTTCTAACATCTTTTCAATTGTGTGTGTATGTGTGTGTGTGTGTGTGTGTGTGTGTGTGTGTCTGTATTGGCTAAGTCAACCTCCCCAAGAAGAACTTACTTGGCTAGTTCGTTTCCGCCCTGTCACTAGCAGCATTCAAGCAGAAGCTGGCCCTGCAGGGTAATTTCTATCTGCAGGCACTCCAGATTCTCCCAAACTATGAAAGCCCCTTGCTGATTGTAAATGAAGACATCTGAAGGGAAGACCATATGCTTGGCTTCATCAACAATGAAATATGGGTCTATTTAGAGTTACTGCTCATACTGTTGAACAATAAACCATCAATAGAAAGAATAAACTAAATTCTTTGTGGGAACTAAAAACTCTATTAAATAAGAAGGAATAAAAATATGATCTGGTGGAAAGGAAACTGCCCTGTCAAAAAAGGCATCTGCTTCGGCATTCTGGACTCAGTCCCATTACCACTTACCTACCGATAATGTGCTACACCTCGCTTTCCTTTTGTGTCAAAGACAGAGAATAATGAAATCCATGCTACATGCAATACTCTATTAAAAACACTTGTTGATCTTTTACAATAGAAAGATTTCGGTAATGTTCAAACTGTGGTTAATTCCCCTAAGTATTTTCCTTGAAACCTTATTAGCAGACAGGTCTTAATGAAAAAGAAATAAAAATGATGGCAACCTGATCCAAAAAGGTTGACCGAGCTTCCCTCAGCTGCAGCATGAAACTATCCTAGGGCTGGCTGCAGACTTCACATGCCAGATATTCATGTGTTTAAGGCAATGATGTAATATGGACACCTGGGCAAGTCAGTCATGATTTGGAACTTGGGTTCTTGTCTACATTGCCAACACTCCCCTCACTAAAAAGGAATTACTGCATAACGAGGCTGCCTCCAACGTTTCCTCTAGATGTTCACCACTTTATGCTGCTTCTAAGACACAGAACAATTTAGCAAAGACAGCATTTCATGAGTGATGCTATCCAGAAGTTACTGGAACACTTAGTTCTTAAGGGAAGAGAGCGTAGGAGTCTTTGCTTTGGCGTTCCAAGCCACATATTTTTTAATAATGAGGATCTGGATCAAGTTCAGTGTATAGTTCAAAAATATATTCCAATTAAACTATTTAATAGAGTCTTGGCTTTTCGTCTAGCCCCATCCCACCACCATATGCATCCAATAATTCCCAGCTTGCTTCTTTCCCCTCCGCCAATAAGAAAGAGGGAGCGTTGAAGCGATGGTGACATCATGCTTCCAAAGTTCAGTTTCTCTCAAACCAACAACTTCAAAGTGTCAACAATCAGCCTCTGTATTGATATATTTTCAGTGAAAGTGCCAGGAAATCTGCTCACTGCACATCTAAGCGAGGACCCAGCCACGCGGGGCCTGGGCATGCTCAGTGGCCCCACTTGCTGGTGAAATGCTAGTTGTCATCTGCAACGATCACTCCATATGCATACAGCACATTCACATTAAGTGGCCAAACTTCAAAATGGAGTCAGGCAACAGGGGCTCTGTCTACTTGAGTCATAGTCTCATTAGCCACCTTCTCCCAAGATTGATTAGCTGTCTCCTGGGTGCCAGACTCTGCACCAGGCCTTGGGAAAACAACAGACACCAGCATCGCCATCAGTCCCTGCTCTCAGGAATGAGCAATATCTGTGCCCGCTCTCTCCTCCCAGACTGCGTGACCCAGGTGCCTGCTTAGCTAGATTCTGGGTAGTCAAAGAGTAAAGCGAGAGCAAAGCACCTGCCTCAGGAATGAGTAGAATCAAGTAATAATGTGGTTTTTGTTTATAAAGCACGTGTATATGGAGTGCCTTACAAAAATATTATCCTTCCTTTGTAGGTGAGAAACCTGGAGCTCAGAGTGGAAAGAATTTACTCAAGGTCATGTAGAGAATTAGTAGCCATCAAAGATTCAGGCCCATATCTCCCAGCTCCTAAGCTGTCTCTCTAGTACAGCAGCCACGAGAGTCTCAAAGCAGAGGAAGTGCTGGAATCGTCTCTAATCCTGCTTCTAGCACCACTTTGTGGGGAGCTAGTCACATCATATAAAAGGCTTACATTTCTCCTCCCGCAATAAAGCAACGATGGAAACTCTGGGTTACTTCTTTCATCTGATGAAGACGGATGGTTTAATCAGAGTTTAAACAATTAATGATCAGAAATGCAATACCTTCTGCCCCTCCCACCACCTCTTAGCTTTCCATGTACAGAGCTATACAAGGGAGAAAATGACGATGATGATGATGATGATGATGACTAGCATGTACTGAGTGCTTATTGTTTTACATACATTATCTTTACATATTTAATCCTCACAATAACTTGATTATACTCTTCCATTTAAAAGACTAGAAAACTGAGCAGTGGAGAGGTTGAGGGAGTTGAGGAACAGTGCAAGTTTATAGGACTTTAGACTAGGCTCTTAATCATTCTATTTTCTTTCCAACCTAAGAGATCACACTTGTGTAGGTTCTAGCCTGAATTTGGTGTTCACAGTACTAAAGCCTAACCAAATTGTGGAATCTAGTACTATAAACTATCAAGTCTCCCAAATTCAAGACCCCAAATATCAAAATGTTCTATTCCCAGTAGTCATTTGATGAAACGGAAAAACTGAGCCTGTGATTTGATCAGTGTCACTTTGGAGCACACAGCTCCTGGGTAAGGAGTCTCATAAAGCGTCTGTAAATACTTTGTAAAGTATTCGCCCAGGCACCCAAGTGGATGACTACTGTGCCTGGGAGAGCTACTGACGAAATTGAGAAG